ACAATAATGATATATGCAAAATGTTCTTGTCTGTTCTAGACAGTACTGAATGACAAACACAACTGGTTTTGTCATGTCTTTGTGTAGGCGTTTGTACAGAAACTATAGATCAATTTCATGGAAATTACATAGAAGTGCGTATATCTTATTTTGAAATATTTACTTCGATATTGGTTGTCACAGATTTGCCGTTTGGGAATATTACTTGTTACGTATAAAGCAAAACGTTATCTGCTTTTTACGACAAAGACACAAATAATCTCTTTTTCTTTCTTTCTTTTATTTTTTTTTTCTTTTTTTCTTTTTTGTTTGAATAGCTATTTCACATAAAAGAATCGAGCCTGCAACGGTGACATGCAAGTTGTTTAAAGTCAACGACCTTAAGTGGCCACGGGACGCCTCATACAAAAATACTCTTTTCGAGCTATTTCATGAGAATCGACACAACAAACCGAAGGCTTAATAAAATGTATTAATCAAAAATGTATAAAGCTATATATCAGCTTCAAAAGTTTTTATTTCAATTTTGAAATAAAAGAATTCTTCCAAAATACCTGTACCTGTATATTTATTACCTTCAAGGTGATTGACCAATGTATGAAATCATTGTTAAAAGGATAACATTCTTCTTTATAAAAGTAGCATATTTGCTTCCGGAACATTTTATTCTGTTTACATAAAATATTCATGTGTGGCATTCGTTGCTACAACAGAATGGACCATAGGATTACCGAAACAATGTAAATCAAATGTTTATTAATTCAATAAAACAATTGTTTAAGATATACCTTTGTTCCCTTTATTCTATTTTGCAGTCATTTATTGATAAGCATTATATTAGAATGCTCTCCGAAGACTTATAAAATATCTTTACTTTTCGTGACTGTATCTAGTTATGCGGTATAAATATGAAACCATGTTGTTAAAATATTCCCTAGTACATGCTGCTGATGTTGTTGATGATGAGGTTGATAATGACGATGATGATGAAAATGATGATGATGTTGATGACGAAGTTGATTGTAATGATGCTACTGCTGTTGCTGATGATGAAGATCTGTTTTCGGTAATGAGTAATAGAAAGACAACGATTTACAGTATCAATAAGTTAACAGCTCACCGAAAATGAATTAAGCAAGTATGTGTTTGTTTTCCCAAAAGATTCCGATGTAACTTTGCTTCGATTAGCGCGATAAACTTATTAGACAGTGACGTGATTTATTTCATCATGTCTTTCGTTTCTAGCATAAAAATGCAAGTCCCCTATATAAGCTTCGGTGAATATCTTATACATAAAAACACACTTTTTATATTTAAACACGTACTTAATTATAATATAATTATAAACACAGAAGAATGCATGTTAGTTTTCTACTAAATAAGCGATCAGTTTTGGTCTGTATCCGCCTGAACTGCTGAAATAACGAAAACAAAGACCCGAGAAGACACCGCAGATAGTGCAGCTATAAACTTTATGCATTAGTCATGAATAGCAACTGTGAAGAAATAAAGATTTTACATTTAAAGTAGTTTCTATAAATATATATAAAGATCACACTTAAATCTATTTGTCGAATATATTTAATAAAACTCACAACACGCCTGATAGATATCTAAAGGTGAATGGCTGTTATATATACATGTATAGCTGAATCAAATGGGTTTTGTTATTCAAGGGACGTAACAAATTGTTGATACTAGAATTGTTAAAGGCAGCGTTATCTCCCATCAAGTAAAACATAATTTGTGTTTATTGTTTGTCAATATTGACCTGAGACTAAATTAATTTTCTTGATGTTTTTCCTAAATTTCCATAATTAATTATGATTTGTGCTTAGGATATTAATAATAATATAATCACGATAAAAAAAATAATAATAATGTTCGTTGTCGTATAGTGGTAAGTACTTCAAATCTTGAACAAACCTTTTTGAAGTTTTCATCAGCTGAGTTATTTTAACTCATTTGAAACATGGGTATATAAATCTTGTGTTTCCAATCTAGCATTGCGTTTAATATCATAGTTTTGATAAATACATATGTTTCATTTCAATATTTCCGACTTATCATAGAGATTCGTGTCGACAAATTTATATACTAAAAGTCTTACTACAAGAAAATGTAAAAAAATCATTTGATTCGAACCTACATTCTTCAAATTTAAACAAACTGAAAGTCTTACAACTTGTCACCGAGGCTAGAAAGGCAACTGATATGCTGATAAATTTTATTAAAATCCGTATGGTTGACTTCGGAATCCGATAAATACCGACAAAAGGTCATTGAATATTCAAATGTATCAGGTTAATATTGCCACATAATACAGGATCGACTAATATAATTTAGTTTCAGGCAACCAAATATAAGAATTAAATGTGGCACAAAAAGAAACAGTTCCCAAGCCAATTAATCAACAATTTGAAATAAAGTTATTATGTCAGTCAAATGAAAAGAATTCTTAATAAACTGAATGCTTTATTATAATGATGATGATGATGATGATGATGATGATGATTTAATACAAACCAAGATAAAATTTTGATCTTATATGCTTTTGTGGCTATATCTGCAATACAATTACTTACATTTTAACTTCAATGATTTAATCTGAAATCAGAAATGACAGACAGGTATGCTGTTTCTGTAGCAATCTTATTTCAAAATACTTTAATAATTTTTGCGTGTGATTCGAAAACTGAGTGCCCCTATTGAAAGTCATCAATTATTCTGTTTCCATGGTAACATCTATACAAATTCTGACTCTGCCGATCATTCACTTAAAGAGATTTATTATTGTACAATTTCCTGTCAACATTCACGTAGTTGCTATCAACATGTACAAAATAGTAACCATACATCACTGTAATGATTATTTACCAGGAGAAATGTCCTACAAACATGTGTACAGAGACTTTATTCTATTGATAGTTCTATTGGTCAAAGTCTATCATGACACGAGTTCTAAGTGCATTCAATTTGTCGTATAATAGAATATATTTTTTGCGGTATCATGAATTAATTCAGTTACAGAATCATTCTACAGTGTATTCAATTCGACCATTTCCCACAATTAAGTGTTTATGTATATAACATTAACTTCCGGTGCAACGACCGGTCACTTAATGAGTTCTGAATAGTTTGCTTATCCAACTAACTGTTCCAATTAAATTCTCATTAGAATATTACCCAGTTATAATGGGAATGTCCGTGAGGTCATTTGAGTAAAACAAAATAACATAATGTATTTTAACTACAAAGTTTTTGAAGGATCTCTAACAAAAATAAAATCTAAATATGATATTTATTTTACATCTATTCCGCACATCAAAGGCATTCGCATAATGTTTTTCCAGTGAACTTGACCTTATCCAGCATGATATTTCTGTACTATGATAAACCAAGTAGTTTAAGGAGAAGGAACTCCGAACTAGAAAATTGCTTCAGTTCAAACAAGTACATGTAGTTAATATATATCAAAATAATAAAGAAACCTGAAAACTAAAAGTAACTTATTAATTTCCTAAAGCCTTTTCACTTGCCCTTATGTGGATTTCCGTGAGCTTTGTCAACACAATCAATAATGGAGCAGATTAACGGGTAAATGAAATCGAAATAACAAATATTATAACACAAAATAATGAGCAAGAGGGTTACATCTATGATCAATATTAAATATGAAACGTCAATTAGAGTGAGAACATTGAAAGATACATTTTGCTTCAACTTTACACTAACTGTCCAACAGTATATAAGATATTAAACAAACCCCACTGACTTTTTGATATGATGAGAATGGCAATATTGTCCCAAAATATGTGACACTGTACCATTTGAAGAAAGTCTGGGCCAATAACTTGTATGCAAATTGTCAAATCATTCACTCACGCGGTTTTTCAAAAATTATCATTTTTGTGTAAAATGACCAATGGTTGCAAAGAATCGTTTCTTAAATCGATATTCAATTTAATTTTGACTATATTTCTTAATTACTCTTTGAAGATTTCCATATTTCCAGTGCTTCGCTTGATCTATGTAAGAATTTCAATTTTATGTTTTAGGCTTTTTAATATAAACTATTATTTTATTACAAATTTGCTTCAGTGCTTTATTCTTTAATAATTCATTGTACTAATTATTATCGACGAAACACAATAATCGTCTTCTAAACAGGTCGTTACTCTCACGAAAACACAAAAGACTTGATAAAATCATTTCATGGTTTCAAAAATAACGCAGATACATGCTTTATGTTTATTTTATTCACAATTTCACAGTATGATATACATAATAAATGGGCAAATAGAAACCTCAATTCATTTAGTTTGTCATGAACTTTTCGAACCTCGCAATCTTTGTATGATTCATACTATTATCTAAATGATATGTTTACCGTTTAACCGTTGTCTTTGTGAAATGGATTTTTGGAACAATCTAGTATTCACATTTCAAACGATTTCATTATCAAAATTTAAACAACAGGATAGAGCCTGGCCAGGCTACACAGAAGTGTAGCCTGGCTTGTCTTATTAGTTTTATAACTTATCACTTTCGGTTTCTGCAGGTGAAAGGTTAAACCTCGAATGCACTTTTTCTAATCTAACGCGTACATGTAAATATGTTACTTACACATGTCTTTGATGCTGAATACATGACAATTTAGCATTATACATTAAAACACTGATAATTCACTGGTTTATTTCTATTAAAGGGCTCTTGAGCCACTTTATAAATTAAAAAGGTTTCTGTCTAACCAAAGGTATTTAAACATGAATTACATAACGCTAATTGGACGTTAACGATCAGTTAGGCAACTAATCTATACGCAAATATTTAGACAAAATCGTCCAGTAATTTTGTCTGCGTGCATTATATAACTATAGCATAAAAATGCTATGGTACGTATTTGAATACCTTGCCTTTTTTGCATTCTATTTTCTTGATATATGGTATAATTTTACTACACGCATAGTTATTCATGCTTCTTTTTTAAATGTAGGCATGATGATAAAGAAAGACAAAATATTCGTTATTTGTATATGAAACATTTATTTTGCAATAAACTTATCAATAGTTTTCCTGGCCTAATTTTACCCAAACGGAAAAAATAGATGCGTTAAAATTCCATGGAGTATTTAACGCGTTCGGAAAAAAAACGATTAGATGATTTTAGCGGACACACTCTTCATACTCGAGGGAAAGGTTTAACAATTAGAATATCCAATCACCGACGATTCTAACACGGGAAAACGATAACAATGTTTGAAAATATGGAATTAATAATGATTGGATATATCAACAAAGGAAGATTATAATATGTGCGATTATGATCTCTTAGCGGACATTTTTACGATAAATCAATCAGGAAAAGTTATAGTGGAAGTAGAAAACTATTGGAATTGTCGTGTTAAATGCAAAAGAAAAACACAGACTTTTTACAATTTGTGACACTAGACAACTAGCGAAGGTGTTAAAGAATACTTGACGTGTTAATTATGGATTGCAAAGCGAGATATGTTTTATTTACCTTCGCTGTCATGTCGTCATGTAAGTTTTTTCTTTCTTATTTGTCTTACTTATGTATGAAATCATTTGTCTAATTGTAGATTCCGTTCATTATATCAAGAGGTGACTGGTCATGATTTCATCATTTTGTAAATTATTTATTGGAACTATTAACTTAGAATTAGTTGTATGTTTGATATTACTATAACAATGAAACAGATTGCCATGCTTTTATGGTCTTATATTTTAACAAAGTCTTAGTTCAACTCCCATACAAGAACTGTTTAGTTTATTTTTAAGAATTTATATTGTCTACAATGTAAAATGAATGGGACGATGTGTCTGCATCAAGCTTTTAATTTTAACATTTTACCAGAACACACTTCCGATCACATCGCATCAATGACAAATTAGTTTGAACTATTATGATAGCGGGAAAATTGGCAAAACGTCAACACTTTTAATTTGATTCCCGTTTTCGAAACTAGCCATCATGAACTCTTTTCTTGTTGGTCTCTCCACTTTCGTGAGAAATACACGTACATTTGAAATCTTATATTTGTTAACGGGTGAAACAACACAACTTAAACACCTAATTAACCACTCAAAATGGAACTGCAAATGTGACCAGATCGGGTAATAAACTCATATTTAGAGCGGATATCAACTTGCGGATATATGTCGGAGTCATGTATTTCATTGATGAAACATTTTGTATCATAACTTTAAGCAATTTTAAATATTTTCAAAGTTGACAATTCGAAACTTTCTTCTTGTAATAGATAAACTTTACTTCTATAATTATATTATAGCAACTGTTTTAATTTGAGGGAGCTCAGCTATCAGGGATATAATATGCGTTACATAAGTTTATATAATAAATTTTCAAAACTTTAGTAGATACTGTTAGTTGTATACTTATTATTTATTTATTTATTTATTATTATTATTCTTATTATTATTCTTATTACATGTACGAGGGTTGTCCAAAAAATTCGTGCACTGCAGTAATTGTCGTAAGAGTTATTAATAAAAACAAATGAATTATATATCACTTGAAGGGGAAATCTGTCTCAAATAAGAAAACAAAAGAAAAAGCCGGGTAACTGGCGTGTCGTGTAAAAGAATGGTCATTAAGTTACCTTAGTAACGTAATACCGGCGCACGGCAAAAAATTGGGTTTGTTCATTACTGTAATTGTATTAATTGTTTGTTGCTTGTAAAGTGGCATTTGCTTTTTATGTTATAATTTGTTTTACTGTCAAAAGAGGAAAGATTGATGCATAGTATGTTGTAGTTTTTATTGTTCTTATGCAACAGACATGTAACATATCCCACCAGTGAACGAATATATTGGACAACCCTCGTCACATAGTCCGGCATTATGGATGGACGTCTGCCTGACCGGTTGTCATCGTCTACCGGCTCTCGCCCTTCTGCGGCGCGTTTGTGCCATTTAAAAACCAGCCTTGGTGACACTGAACTTGTCCCCGCTTGCCATTATAAGTTCTTTGTAGGTATTTGTTTGTGTTTTACCAATATTTGCACAAAATGTAATGATCGTCCGTATTTCCAGACGTTTAGCGACTGACATTTTTACGTAATTACAATATTGACGACCTCACACAAATGTGTGTCTATAAACGTCAATTACTGATCAATGTCGTTATTTATTTATCAAACACGCATTCAATATAATCATATGATATATTACAATATGTAAACACTATGAATATTTAATGTGTCTTTGAACTACTATAATTTCTTTTCAGAGTGAGTGATAAATACAATATTGTCTCAATGTAAAAGTGATTTGTCTGATCTCAAGTCAGTGTATAAATATAATGATATTTTATTACATCAAATGTTCGCAAATTGATTAATAGAATCTATCATTGGGTTAGATAGAGGATAGGGAAATCCCAACCCGAGGGTGATCGGTTCCATCGGGAACGAGCCTTGGCGAGTTCCCGATGGAACCGATTGCCCGAGGGTTGGGATTTCCCTATCCTCTATCTAACCCAATGGTTGATTATTTTTCTCACTCACCTGAACACACAAATATCAGTGAATCTACTTGCTACGCCCATTACAATGTACCTAGTTTTGAAAAGGGGGCGGGGCTTAGGCGCCTGACTTTCTATGATTAAAAAGCATTATACATGTACGTCCGCAAAAATTGTTCTGACCAAGTTTATGTGTGAAAAATTTGATGAAAATAAATTCATATGAGACCCCTCATGAAAAAGCAAGGTTATCATGATGAAACACATCGATATTAAAAACGGAAAGTGCCAAAATATAAGTGTTTATAAGGAATTCAGTCCATACTTCAATGGTTGACAAAAAAGCGTTTAAATACCGTTTGCAAAGGTTTTTCTACTTTTTCGGTTATTTTGGCCGAATATTCAATTAAAATATATCAAAATGAGATTCGTCATCAAAAAGCATCGTTATCATAACAAAAAACATGAATGTTTTTCAGGCAAAGTGTCATAATATCCGATTTTACGAAGAACGTTTCGATATTTTAAAGTGTGCTATTTTTAGTAACAGATCGTTATTGGAAAGGGCGGATCTAGGTAGAGTAGGACTCATTGCAAGTTAATATCAATCTATTTTGATTCCGTAGACAATTTAATAGATTAGCTTACAAATTTTTAATACATTTTGACCTTTTGACGTTTAATTTTTGTTAAAATAGGAGTGAATCGCGTATTATTTAGAACTGCTGCACGTTGAGTGTGAGATAAGCCCATGTGAGATAAGATTTTCCAACACCGCTATTTTTAGTAACATTTAAGGATTTTTCTATCTGGTTAGTGAGAAATAAACATAAACAATAGTACAAAGATTATGCTTCTTGTCATACATAGTCTATGAGTATGTAGAAAGCAGACTTTGCTGAAATTTTTAGTAAGACGCAAAGACGTTACTCACATTGACAAATGGACACGTAATTCAACATACGTTTTTTCGTCAAGATTAAAAACTTTTACGTATAACGTATTAATATTTACTTCGTCATGGGATGTTTTTGGTCAAAACGAGAAGGAACAAGTTAACATGACGTGAAAATTTTAGATAAGAGGAGGCCCTGATAAGCTTCCGTAATCAGTGATATGTAATAAATTTTCAAAACTTTAGTAGATACTGTTAGTTGTATACATTCGTTTTTATTTGCTTATTGAATTGCTATTAAATATTATTATTATTATTATTATTATTATTATTATTATTATTATTATTATTATTATTATTATTATAATTATTATTATTATTATTATTATTATTATTATTATTATTATTATTATTATTATTATATTCTTTGTAAAGTCCACGTAAACTATATTAACATTTGATTTAACTTAATACAATGTTGTGGCTGTACCTCAAGACGCTTGCAGAAATCATAGTCACAAAATAGACAAATATCACTTTTTTCGTAGATTCTTAGATTTTTAAAGTCATAATCGCATATAAATCGATTTGAAGACTTCAAGTGCATTTCGGCTGGAGGAAAGCGAGGTTTTAGCATTTAATCTTTCAAAGGCCTTGTCAAGACGAATTTGGTGTGGAGCTTTAACACTTTTGTTACACTCACTCATTAACCTTTTGTATCTCAGTCTATAAACGTCAATTACTGATCAATGTCGTTATTTATTTATCAAACACGCATTCAATATAATCATATGATATATTACAATATGTAAACACTATGAATATTTAATGTGTCTTTGAACTACTATAATTTCTTTTCAGAGTGAGTGATAAATACAATATTGTCACAATGTAAAAGTGATTTGCTTGAGCTCAAGTCAGTGTCTAAATATAATGATATTTTATAACACCAAATATTCGCAAATTGATATAAATTGGTTGGATTGTAATTATTGTCATATACAACCCATGAGCATGAAGAAAACATCATGTGTTATAGGCTTATCTTGTTCAACCAAAAGGTCGAATCACAGTCCTAACCTTTACACAATTGAAGAAAAATATTATTTATTACAGCCGTAGCTATTTCAACTTCCATACAATTTATTGCACAAAACATTAAAGTGAAACGAATAATAAAATACATTTTTATCTACAATCTTTAAAACGAATATTTTCCTATAAACCAGACATAACGTGCATCAAGTTTCTTTATAAACACGTTTTATGACTGCTAAAATGGTGCTTACATAGAAGTTAGAAGGGAATGATCAGCTCAAAAAACAAAGAAACGTCAACAACGCATTATATTTGATGTTCATACCTGGCTCATGTTCCAAATCTTTTCACAGCAACAAAATGTTCGTAAATGAATGTGTAAAGTGTTCACGTTTATTCTTGATATTGCTCTATCAGTGTATCACTATAAAGTTGAGCAAAAGTCGCGTTAAAAGCTTTCATGATGCATCGCCTAATAAAATTGTAATATCGACAGTAAAGGATTAGAATACAGAAAATGAATGTTGTATTTCCCAAGACAGATTTTAACTCTCAGTTGATTGATTGATGTAGATGATTTGTTCATATAATTACATGGACAAAATTCATTTCACACAGACAAAACAACATTCACGCTTATCTCGCTTAATATCTTTGTTGAACATACTATTTACGTTCTAACTATAATCTATTTAGCATGTTTATAAATGAAAATGTTTTATAAGTATATACACTTGGTACTAGAAATATGGTTAGAAGATAATTTGCAGTATAATTCCAGACAGCAGACAACTCACGCGCTAACATGATATAATAAAATGTGAAAAGTTACTTATTCATCAAAACAAAAGTTTTAGTAATGCTTCGGGAAACAAGATTGAATCGTACTCATTCTTCAAATATTGTCGCACGTTCTTGTGTATAGTTATTTTTGTTATTTTTAAAGTGTGTAAACAGAAAATAAATAGTAAGTTGTCGGTCATCAAAGAGACAAATGCAAGCATATAATATAATCAAAAGCGACGTAACACAAGTGCCGTACTATAAAACGTAATGTAGAAAATAAACTAGTAGTATGAATGATGTTCGGAGAAAAAGCTTTC